TTAAACAAAATTATATTTTGGTTTGGGTTGACAAAATAGTGGTTAGGGTTGACAAAATAGTGGTTAGGGTTGACAAAATAGTGGTTAGGGTTTAGTTTTTGTAATTAAACGAAATTATAATTTTGGTTTGGGTTGACAAAATAGTGGTTACGTTTTAGATTTTGTAATTAAATAAAATTATTTTTCAGTTTGGGTTGACAAAATAGTGGTTAGGGTTTAGATTTTGTAACTCAACGAAATGATATTTTGGTTTGGGTTGATAAAATAGTGGTTAGGGTTTAAATTTTGTAATTAAATGAAATTATATTTCGGTTTGGGTTGACAAAATAGTTGTTAGGGTTGACAAAATAGTTGTTAGGGTTTAGATTTTGTAATATATATAGTACATGATTTAATAGAATAAAATCTAATTTTATCACAGAATAATTATATGTTATTATTATACTAGTTACTGGTATAACATAACACTTACAGGATTTCTTCTCACTCTAGTAGTTACCGGTATAACATAAGAATTATCAAACCGGAAGCTAATCGACATTAATAGTTATTAGTTGTAAAAATTATCAACCTAAGATAATTTTTACAATATAAAATTAGCCATAACTAGGACTTAAAGTACGTTCAGTTACATTGCATTTCTCATTAAAAGATGTCACTAGCGCCAATCCTCTAATAATCATGATCATGATCACATAACTCGCATCTTTTACCTAATAATAAATACATAATCCTCTAATGCTTTTGTTATCTACTATCCATAATGTTATGTTTATGTCTACATACTATTCTAGAAGGTCAAGTGTGTAGTTAGTGAGTACCTTGTAGTATTTACTATCAATTTTTTAATTTATAAGATTAGACTTGTTACCTTAGTATACATACTAATTGTTATCTAGAGTTATCGACTAAACATAATGATATCGACTAAACATAATGATATCCAATATGTTCGAAGATATCGTTGACATCATTTAATGTTGAAGTTGTCGTGTATTTGCCAATACAGATAGAAAGCATAATCATTTCATTTAACCATCTAAAACTGTATATGGTTACTTTTGTCTTTTTTCCTGAGATCATGTGAGAGAACTAATTTTCAAATTAGTGATACCCAACTTTTAATTTTGAAGTCTACCATAGCTATAGTTTTAACTAACCCTTATTAATACTCAAGAAATCAACTACTACTATTATATGTGTATATATATGTGTATTGGAAGATGAATCTTCTGAAATCTTGTTTTGTCTCTTGATGTCATCCTAAGATACTTCGTTGACTTCACCGTTAGTTAAAAACGAAGTACTTCAACATTGTGATTTTCTAATATGCTATAAAATATATCATTAAAATCTGTAAACTTTTCTGATTTCATGATTAAACCTGGGTAATGCATAGTCGAGGGGACGTGCGATATCTTTACTCTTTTATGACTGATTAATGTTTATGATTTTGTATAATTGTTGGCTTATACCCTAATAGCTATGGTCTTGAGTGAGTCGTAATTTGCAAAAACTGAAAATGGTTAATTTCTTTTGTAAGCGATCAAGAAATTTATTATTAACTATTAGTCAACTAAACTTAATATTTAAAATTTTGGTTGTGGTTTTGCTTTAACCTTTTGATCGATTATAAGAACATAAGTATAACTAAATTTAACATTTTCTAATAGATAAACCGAAATGTATATTACTCACTAAAACAATCCACAAAGTTTTTTTTAATTAAAAGAATGTAAAATTATATTTTGACAATTCAAGGAAAATTATCTTACAACAAGTTCTTCATAATGAAGTTAGTGCTTGAACAAAGAGGAATACAATGTTGATTTACAAGCTCGTGTAAAATTAGTATAACTAAAGGATTTATTTTAATATATTAAAGACGAACATTAGTATGAAAAATTTAAAAATAAGATTATATTGTTTTATATTTATTTTAGACAGAACATATAAAATTAGACTATGTTACTCAATTATGTAATGTTCTTAATAAAATAAATAATGGATAAAAATGTAAAAGCCGTATAAAGAGAAAGTATGTAATGCGATGCCAAACTGGAACAAAAAAATTAAAGAAAAAAACATAGAAAATTTAAACTTGCTAATATATGTGAAGCAAAAAACTCTTAAATATAAGAGTGTTTTCAAAAATGACAATACCAGGGATCGATTCTTCTCAAACGCGAAATCATTAGATATTTTCATTTGGCCAGCGGTTTTCACATGGTCTTCCCCGGGCTCTAGGAAAATTACGGCCTAAAGTCCGAACCTCCTGGTAATCAAAAAAAAAAAAAAAAAAAATGACAATACCAAGAAACCGACTGTTCAACGAAGATGAAACTCACATTTTACAGAAACCACATGTTGCTCGTCGTAACTGTACATGTCAAACGTAAGAACGAAAAACTATGGTCATGTCTTTGAGTATATATATATATGTCTTAGCTTTATGTCAAAGCTTTTATTTGTCAACATCACGATCTCGTATGGTTTTGCATTACCATGTATCGTGGATTTGGGCTTAAAAGACATATTTTAGTAAAGGTTTTTAACAACTAAACTTGGTCTCCATCACTACCCCTGGGCCTAGCTGGCTAGCCAGCCTTTTACTCTAACACATGGCATAACTTTGAGAACTGAGACTAATTTGTTGCAAACCCCTATATAGTTACACAACACATTTACATTATATCTTTGTATTTTTATTTTATTTTAGATTCATAATATAAAAATAAGATATATAGGACCAATCAGGGAGTTAAAAGTAGTAATTTCTATTCAAAGTAGATAAAAAAACACACTAATAAATTATTACTGATAAACTTGCCAAAATTATTTCATCACACTAAAAAAATTAAATCTTTGTAAAAGATAAATATTATATACAAGGGAAAGAGCATTATTTATCTTTGCAAAGTAACCCAAAACTCGAAAAATAGGATCCATATGAAAGGTCAAGCTATGTGATTTATGACCAAAAATATATATTAATATTAATATTAAATATTTTTCATTATATAATTAGTACTACTTAATAGTTGTAAAGCACACGAACTGATCTTTAACCAAATATTTAATTTGACTCCTTAAGTGTTGCGGCCATGTGATGAATATTTCATCCCTATAAATACACTAAATGGTCCAAGAGGTTTACATGCACCAAGACATATATATTATAAACTTTTTATTTTTTCTAATTCTCGTCTCAGTTTCTATAATATCAATGGCGAGAATTAATGTTTATCTCTTTGCGTTTATCTTGCTTTTGACTATCATCATCAATATTGGTTCCATTGAAGGTCGAACACTCACCAAGACCAAGTCCACCATTATAAATACGGCTGGGGAACTCGGAGATGTGCTATCACCACCGGCTGAGTCGTCACTTGAGTCACCACCGGCTGAGTCACCACCGAGCCACGGGGTTGATAACTTCAGACCAACGGTACCTGGACATAGCCCTGGTATTGGACATTCCGTACACAACTAACGGAGAAGGAACATGGTTTATTATGTGACTACACATATTTTCAAGTATTTTGCCACCTTATCGAATATAGGATATGGCTGTGTTATCTTTTTTTTTTTTTTTACTGAATATGGATTTTTATGTATCATCAAATATGTATTTACGTACTGTTTCTTCATATTCAGTTTCTTGCAAGTGTGATTCTGTGATTGTAATATCTTTAGTTGGTCAAAATAATCAAGATTTCTGTAATCTATAGTTTTTTTCTTCTTCTGAAAAATGAAATAAAACAGATATTTTCTTCTCATATTATATTTTCTATATTCGAAAAGTGTATCTTATTAATTTAACATTTTTCTAACGAAATGTCTCAATCACTTGATCAACTGAATCTAACGTAAGTAAACGTAAACTGATCTCGAAATAGAAACAATTTTTTTTTTGCTTGTTATGTCTAAGCCGTACACATTTCTTAGTCAAATGTAATTCTTTAAATATAATTTGGAATAAATTTTCACTCATAAAATAATTCACAAAATAAAGAGACAGGACATCTTAACCTATTGGATTCCTGTTCCACTACCATATATTTTCGGTTTCTAAATTTGAAGTTTCAACAATACATTTACCTTATTTTGCATGGAAAAACCCTACAAGTTTGTACTACGTAATATATTATAGGATAACTTTAATTTGTTTGTAAAAGGTTTAGGTGGAAGGGAATATTTAAGAAATAATCAAATCTAATACACGTTATAGTTAAACGGTCTGCGTGATTTAGAAAAAAAATATAAGACACATAAAATCTAAGTACATTTCCATTAACAGAAAAAAGTAAATAATTTGTAGCACTAATATTTATTGGAAGCAACCTAATGTGTTTTATTGAATCCTAAATGTATAGTCTTTTTTTAATAAAACGAACTTTTGCCACAACTTTTCTTTTTCTTTTCGAAAATGCGCCATATATATAAGTATCAACGATAAGTTATATCAATCTCCTAATCCTCATATTCCAAAGTGATATTTAGGTGTTAACTCAAGAATCCTTATATTTTGGACTAGTTTGTAATTTTTTACACTGAATTTTAATCCCCGATTTATTAGCAGTGGCAAATTGAGAGTCTAATACCAGAAATCGTCTCGTTTTAGCGAGCTTATAAAATCAAATTTAGTTTATAGAGTTTAGTACGTATAGTTTTTTTTTTTGTGTGCACCAAACTTATAATTGATTAACTTGTGGTTACAACAATAACACAAAATCGAAGCAGCCTTTTGTTTATTATAAGAATACTTATTTTTTAGTTCAAATAAGAAAACAAAAGTTTGAGTGAAAAGTACAATTTGATAAACTTTGTGTAGTTTATGGATGTTATTCCGAAAAAAATATTATATATATTTTAGTAACTTCATAATTAGCTAATAATTTTATGACTTTTCACCAAATTTTGTTTTTAATGACTTTTGTTAGAGAGAGAAAATTAGCAAAATGATCTTCCACTAAATGTAGTTTTGCAGAGTAACATGGACATAAAATTGAAGGACCAAATCGAGGGTCTCAATCGGGAACTTTACAAGATATATCGTATATATAGGGAATTTATTAAATTACATGAAAGTGTCTAGAAGCAGCCTTTTGTTTATTATAGAAATGCTCAACTTGAGCTTGAGATGGTAGGTAAGCTAATTACATGAGGCATTTCTATATACATTTTTGCAAAAGCTAACCGTACAAAAACAAACCAAATATCATGTGGTTGATTAATCGAATGGTCTCACGTTAGATTGGACCAAATTAAAAGTGTTTAAGTACAATGATAAAATAAAACATAAAGTGATTTCAGATGGTGATCAGTCAGATACGTATAGTGCTTAAAAAGATTCTCAGTCTAAGTCTAGCAGCTAGCTAATTAAAATATATTTCGTAGGCTTCAACAACCGCTAGGATTATGAAATTAGCATCGTGTTCGATGTTTTGTTCAATATATATACTACTAGTTATACTAATAGTACGCTTAACTAAAATATACTATTAGACATGTATATAATTATGTCGCCGGCTAAAAGCAAAGACATAATCATATCAATGACCCTTTGCGTTCGTTTCGTGTATTACTTCATTTACATCTCGTATGAGTATGAGTACAATAATGACTAACGGATTTTATTTTTTTCTTGCTGAACAAAACATAGTTCAAGATTATTGAAAACAAGTAAAATGATTTGTCGTAGATTCTAGTTTTCAAAGTGAAGTTGTCCATTATGCATGTGGTGCTAGTGCTACAATACAACCTAATATCATATATTATCGTGGTATATATGGACAAAACTCTTCATTGTTATGTTGCTTATGAAGTTGTTACACCATGCATGCATGTCTCGAGCGATGCGTTAAGCAGCTAAACTGCTAAAGCTAGAAGAATGTGGTGTCCGATTTCGAAGTGTTGCAAAATATTAGTTTGGTTTTGAATGGTAACCTATAATATTATCGATCGATACGGTATAGGTTTAATTTTAACCGTTATCGATCACAAAAGTGCCGCTATTGACACACTTTTAACTATCGTTTAACGTTTTCTCTATATGTTTAAAAACTTTTACTACTTTGTGTTACTAATCTGAATCTTTATTTTTCATAAAATATCAAAATTAGTAATAAAACTAAAATATAAAGTAAAGATTGATGGTTAGAAGGAACAACATTGTTACTAAAAGAATATTTACGATCTGAGCTGCTTTATTCTTCTCTCGAGACCTGCCTCTTGTGTATTGGTGTAAGCAAACGAACCACATTAAGATCCCAACGAGAAGAAGAACCACTTGCCTTCTAGTTGCAACAACTATATTTATATATCTAACTGAGAATCTTCATGAGCCGCACGTACTTGGAGAACTCGAACAGTTCTAGTCCTCAAACTTCGTGATGAACTTTTCAACTATGGCACTACCCTAGATGAACTTTTCCTTGATGTCACGATCGATCAGTTTGAGCCTAACTCGGTTTAAACCAAGTCATTTTGATTTCCAACATCATATTAATTATACAACACCACATTTATATTGATCAATACAAATTCTTATATCAATATTGTATCATGTACTAAATACTTCACTTTATTTGATAAATGGGTCAAACGTAATATTCCACAATATATACACTCCAATATTAAAATGATGAAAAATCGTACTTTGTACTTAAAATTGCTTTTGATTAAACAAATCAACGGTGGTTAATGCACAGATAACAGCCTTGCAGATCAAATTAAATTAATACATTACATAAATGAGTCTGTTTGGTTGGCGCATGAGCTTACTGAACACCAAATATATGGCCTCCTCTAATTTCGAGTAGCCAACTAATTCGTATAATCATTAATTAGGTTTTTAATCTATTGAATTAAAGATTGCATTAAGGTTATAGTGGTGTACAGAAACTAAATGGGTCCATTCAAAGGACTTCCGAAAAGGCAGGAGCCAATTAGAATAAAGTTTAGATTCCACTTCACTAGAGCTCAACTATATATATAGATGGAGTGTAATAAAAGATGCACACGGTTGAAAAATTTATATGCAATTTTCTTACACCCATCACATTCTATTCATATATATTCTTATTTTATCTGAGAGTGGTTATATAAAAAAGTATGTTTGATTTTTTAATTTCTTCAAGAAACTTGTTGATTTAGTTTAGGATGGTTATTATTATGGTTTCAGTTTATCTAGAAACTAATAATATAGTTTAAAAAAAAAACATAATATAGATAATTTTTATTATTATTTTATCTGAGTGGTTGCACTACAAGAAAACATGTCCATTTCCTACCAAAATTCCTACAAAATAAATAGTAGGAAGATTTTCCTACGGAAAAACTTCACATTTATTACGAAATGAGAAAGTGGTAGGAAAAAGGAAGAGCATTTAACTACGAAAGAAGGTGTCAGAAAATGGAAGGAATATTTCCTACCAATTTCTTTTAAATATTACTTTTGTAGGAAACTGTGAAGGAAACAAAAAGGAAAGTGGAAGGAATAAATGCAGAGAGAATTTGGTAGGAACTTTTCCTACGAAATACCTTCAACAGAGAGGTTGAATGAAATGTCGTAGGAAATCGGTAGATATATCGAGGGAAACCACTTCGTAGGAAATTTGAAGGAAACCAAGTTGTAGGAAATTAAGTGAGGGTTGTGTAGCAGTATATATTTTGGTAGGAAATGTGGAAGAAACATAAAAAATTTTACCAATACAAAGACTCGGACGTTTGTTATGAAAATAATAATCTCTCATTTTCACATCTCTCTGTCATACATATATATTGTCTTACGAGTTGGGGGTTTTTTTTAAAAAAGTTGTGAGAAAGAAAAATTTTGCTAAACACAACAACGGAGCGAAAACTCTAAAAGTCGAGTTTAATTCAGAAAGCACATCGTGAAGGAAAGTTTATTACATTAGAATATCATTAGATATATAGGTTTCAAATAACAAATCAATACTCCCTTTGTTTCACAATATTAGATGTTTTAGAAACTTTCTTATGTTAACAATATGTTATCCAAACGAATACCCAAAGAACGGAACATAATATTAAAAGTATCCAAAAAATTAACAATATTTAACTTTAAATATAATCCAATTACCCAAAATTACCACTATAAATTAGTTTGTTTCAGACCTATCAATCAGTTTTGAGACCTAAATACCAAAATAATCAAAATATGCAAATTATTTGTTATATTTGCCAACATTTAGTCAAATTTATTGAAATCTGACTAAGTTAATTTAAATTTAACCAATTATATAGGATTTTTTTTGGGTATTTCTAGGATCCTAAAAGGGGTATTTTTAATACATATTTAAACCAAAGAGGGTGAATTCAAATTAGATCTGTGATTTTCTAGTTCAAGGAAGGTAAATTAAAATTCTATAACTACTACTATCTTGGTAACAATTTCATTTTATTTTTAATTAACTTTTGAGAATTTTAAAAATACTTTATTTTTTATTATTTTCGAGACGCTTACAATTTTTCCACGATTTCTTGGTCATACTTCTAACCTTTGTTTATTCAGTTTTTTTTCGACCACTTCTAATTGTTTATGTATTAAACCAGTAATCTTTTTAAACATATTCTATTTTAAATTGTTCTCTAAACCCTCAAACACCATAGTTCATCAAATGTCGAGCCAGCTACACTGTGTAGCCATAAATTTGATATTTTTTTTTTGATTCGAGCGAACAAAAATTTGCAATAAAATAATTTATAATGACGTTTCTCAAATCTCGTCGTTGTTATAATTTTTGTAAACATTTTTTCTTCTAATTTTATTCACCAACCAAACATTCCTAAACAGTAATTATGGAGAAATTTTGTTTTACCATAAATTGGGTAAATTTACCATAACAAAATCCACAATTCTAGACTTCTAGTATTTATGCTTTATTACCTTTTTATTTTATTACTAAATTCCTTTTTTTTTTTTTTAACTTCTACTAAATTTCTTCTATGAGTTGTGAATTTGTGATTGTATTTTATCCTTTTCACATATACAAGCAGAAACGATCCCAAAAAAAAAAAAAAGCGAGAGAAACAAATCAAACCCTCTTGACTCTTAAGGGTTTCAATCGAAGTGGGAGAGAAGAAATTGCCGAAGAGAAAAGCCATGGATGAAGCTTTGACGAACGCTGCTGCAATCAGTGACCAACGCCAGAAGATCGAACAGTACAAACTCATCCTCTCCTCTGTTCTTTCATCAAACGATCTTCTCCAAGCGCAACGACTCATCGATCACAGTAATTTCCTCTCATCTTCGCTCTTTCTCATCTAATCGAACCTCATAAGAGCTTCCACTATTGCTTTTTCTACCTTTTCGGATTCGGTTTTGATAATTTGTGGTTCGGTTTTGATTTTTGTTTCGTGACAATTTGGAAAATTTTGTTATCTAGTTCTTTTCGGTGATGTCCCGTTGGTGGTTTCGAGACAGCTTTTGCAATCGTTCGCACAAGAGCTTGGGAGATTAGAACCTGAAACGCAGAAGGAGATTTCTCAGTTTACACTTACTCAGATTCAGCCCAGAGTTGTTTCCTTTGAGGAACATGTTTGTTTTCTCTTTCGTATGCATATATACAAATACCTTATTGTTGAGTATCAATCTTATACTATTTAAATTCTTGTTTATCAATTTAGTCTAAGTTGAGAAGTTTAAGAATAGACAGTTTGTGGTATTGTATCTCTTGATGTTTAAAATCTATACCCAAAGCTACTTTGAGGTGTTTGTTTACTAAAGATGATGTATTTTGGGATATCTGAGACAATGTACATTGTGTTGCTTTACAATCTGTATATATTAAGAGAGGAAACTGTTTTTGGGTGTATTTGCAGGCACTTGCTATCAGAGAAAAACTTGCGGGTTTGTATGAATCAGAGCAGGAATGGTCTAAAGCGGCGCAGATGTTGAGTTGCATTGATCTTGGCTCTGGAATGAGGTGTGTTGCAGTGAACTGAATTTTCTTTCAATTTGCCCTTTATGTTGTTTTGTGTTGCTTAAATTTGGATTTGTGGTACTCTTTATTAGGGCCGTTGATGAGAACTTCAAGTTCTCAAAGTGTATCCAAATTTTGTAAACATTATATCCCTACTCTCTCTTAATTTTATTCTCTTATATTATATTGAAAACTTGATGCCAGTGTTGACAAGCATTAACATGATAGAATGTTGCAGGATGCAGGTGATGATTCTCAGCAGTCCCTTATGATTTGTATATTATTTATGGATTATAGCAGGGGTGTTCTGTAACTGATTAACACCTATTATGTTTTTAATAGGGACGAAGATCTTGATGAAGATGATTATCTGCTTCTCCAGGATAACAACGTCAAAACTCAAAAGGTTTGCCATATACATATATAACTATACCAAAAGTTTGTACATACACTAAAAATAGACGTGCAGTACTAAGATAGATTGATTTTCTTTTTCTTGACCCATGGAAGAAGATGTAGTTGGGAGCGACGACGACATGGCAGATTTTATTGTAGATGAAGATGAAGGGCAAGGTCTCCCTAAGAGGTATTGTTTTTCTGTCTTTTATCTCTCTTGTGATTTAATATATCTCTGATTCTCAGTAACTTATTTTTCAGGGGAAACTCAAAGAAAAATAAATTTAGGCAGGGATCAGATATGAATGCTATGCGAGATGCTAATGAAATATTTGGTGATGTTGATGAACTTTTCACTATCCGCAAAAAGGGTTTGGCATCTAGTGAAAGGATGGAAAGAAGGCTCGAAGATGAGTTTGAACCAACTATTCTCTCTGAGAAGTACATGACCGGGCAAGATGATGAAATCCCCCAGCTTGATATCCCCGAGAGAATGCAGGTGCATTATCTGCTTTAGTTACTCTGAATGTGCTTGTGGTCTATTTATTTAGGTTTGTATCAACACTTGGTTTGTATTACAATTATGTTTCTATATATAAGTTTATGTTATTTTCATCATCTTAAATATTTTTTTTGTCTATTTAATAATTTATAATCGATATAAAAGTGAATTATGTAATAAATCGTTTTAATAGAATATTTAGTATTTCCTACCAAAAATATTTGAAGGAATGTTAGAAGGTCATTTTGTAGGAAACTGGTGTGAAATTATTCGTAGGAAATTGAAATGAAACAAGTATTTGTAGGAAAAAGGAAGAAAATATTTTGGTAGGAAAATAGAAGGAAAACTTTTCCTACCCAGTATTAGAAGGAAAACGGTCAGAAATACCATTCGGCTTTCCTACAAAAAAAACTACAAAAGTTCCTTCGGCGCATTTTTCGTATGAAATTTTCCTACCAATATCTTACCATCAACGATTTCCTACGGGCGATTTCCTACCATTATTTTCGTAGGAATATCGTAAGAAACAACTATTTCCTACCAATTTTTCACGCAATTGGCTGTAGGAAATTGCTGTTTTTCTTGTAGTGTTGTATATAAAAGGTATAATTAAGTTATATCAGTTTAGAGTTCAGGAAACTTTGTTGATTTTGTTTAGGATGGTTATATTATTATATATGGTTGAATTTACCAAGAAAATAAAAACAGGGGTTTTAATATACATATATATATATATATATATATTAAGTTTTTTAATTTCTTTATTTGGAACATTTATTTGGGTTTTGTAAAAGAAAGATTATAGAGAGTTTTTTTTTTTTTTTGGTGAACAGATTATAGAGAGTTTGGGGTAGTAATTTATTTTATCTTGCTTTGATTTACATTTATTTGCGGTAGTAATTTGTATTTTGTTTTGTTTAAAAGAGATAAAGAGAAGACAAAATGCCCAAACATAAAAAGAATTATGTAAGATCCATTAAACAACAATCTCATGTTTTTTTTTTATGAGCATCACTAATTTGTGTCATAAAAACTCATTGAGGAACTAACATCACCTAGAACCTTGGTATATTGACCATGACATTGAGAAGTATCCATGTATAATAACAACTTTGAAATTATACGATATTTGAAAGCGTGACATAAAACTATATATCATTTCATATAGTAAGTGATTTTTTGACAGGAAACCATTTATGATCCCTTTTTTTTTTTTTGAAAAGTTCTTCTCTCATATATATGATATACGGTAAGATTTCTCTTCTAACAAACTCTCTTATCATATAAACATTCATACCTAGGATGCAATTTTCTTACAAACCTTGCAACTTCTCCCCCGTTATTCAATTATTCCCCTCAAAATGATTTTAACAATTATTAAGTTTAACAATGATTTTCTAAACAAAATTTTGATATAAATGCGCTGAAAAAAAGTAGATGATGATTGATGCACTTTAGAAAAGATATTGAGCATGATAAATATTATCTACGAAAATATATACATTTTTATTGAGCCACTTCGATAAATCAAATATTACAATTGACAACAGTAAACATGTCGTATAAGTATATTTATGTAGATCACTATTTTATTTTAATGACATGTTTAAAGAGAAAGAGACAAACCATTAATTAAATTATTAATATACAGTATGTGAACAATTGTAGCACATAGTTAACTATATATTGTTTAAAATAGTCATTGTATTTTTTAGGTGTTTATGTTTGTATTATATCACATAGCACATGATATATTGTACTCGATATTTTGTAGTTATGTGCTTCTAGAACCACAAAAAAGTGTAACATTTTTTTTTGTGTGATTTCTTCGAACATAGCTTGAGAAATGAGAACATTTAATTCATTCATAAGGTTTGGTGTATACAAGGATAACTTTATTCTTGTTCATATAAATATAAATTAGTTAAATTGAAATTTTCTTTATGAAATATGTACTTCATTACACCAAAAAATAATGTAATTCAAATGAATTTAAGGGCCTTAATTGATAAATTCATATGGGATTTAGGAATTTTCATTGATTTTAAAATCAAACATATGATTTTTTTTTTAAAAAAAATATTTTTTGTCCATTTATTTGAATTCTTATACTTTCAGTTTCTATAAAAAAAAAGTCTAATGTGGATTTCAAAATTTGACACTAAACTAGTAACATAAGATTTTAAATAGTATTTACAAAAATCGGTCACTGAATAATATATTTGATTTAAAGAATGAATTTAAAATGAAAGATCCAATAATACATATTTTTCTTTAAATATCAAAATCATTTAAAATTCTTGTACCAATAACCCTCTCCGCCATTAGACTTTGCAAATAAAATTCCAACAATTTTCTTTGTTAAAATGTTTTGGCAGGCAGCAAAGTATGCATTTTAATTTTTAACATTAAAATATGTTTGGCTTGAAGCCGCGTGGGCCTAGGCCCATTCTTATGAAAAAATTGAATTAAGCCCATAATATGTGTTTAGTATATGAAATATACTGTATATACACTATAAAGCAAAAATATCCACCAAAAAAAAAATGTATATATATTTAAATAAAGGCCCTAAAATATATCATTTTTGCCCTAAGAATTTTTTTTAATTATGGAGCCGGTGTTGAAAATACGATATGTGTAATCAAACAGCTTTGAATTTTTTTAATATATATTTCGTGCTTAAACACCTTTCTACCTTGACGTTTAATACAAGAAGAGAAATTTGACATTATTTATAGCATTTTCAAAGAAAATTAAATAAACAATATTCAAATAAAAATATTTGAGAAACCAATTCGTCAAATTAGTTTAGCAAAATATAGGGAAAAAAAAAAGAAAAAAAGAAAAGAAAGAGAGAATATTATAGACAGGGAGGCAAAACTAACATGCAAATGCTTACAACTTTCTCTGAATATCGAACATTTCATTACATTATGCCGAGTCTGAACATTAATATTAACCATCAATTAATTTTATGAATATAATTTATATGACGACGAACATATAACAGAGTGTGCATATATATCTAATCAAGCCATTACAAAACCTTTTTCAGTTTTCACATGTTTATGTCTCATCTTTTCTTAAACACAAAGCTTCACTTTGTATGATATTCCTATGTCTCGTTTCGTAACCGGTCGGGTGTGTAGTACTAGCTTCATTCTATAATGTCACGATCGAGTTCAAACATCAATGATGAGGAAAGAATACTAGTTAAGCTACTCTCACCCCGAGTCAAAGAGCTCAAAGACCTAAAATATTTGAAACACAAACACGAACCATAACACAAACACATATTCTCTAACCTTAACTCTAGAATGATCTTAACTATATCATTGCCTTAAAAGCTTTGGTAGCGGAGAGAATGTATGACGAAAGTTCGGACAAAAGAAAATGTACTTAAACACATATGATAAGACAAATAATCCCAAAAATAATAATAGTGTTGTTTTCCAAGTTTCGATTCATTCCATATGGAGAGAAAGGAACCAACGAAGGCATGGAGAATTACCCACAACTTCAGAAAGCCTCATCAAGTTTATTGACCTCCAAATTCGCTGATGGTCTCTCTGTTTGGTTTGGTGCTCGAAGCCATAGATGAAGCGTTTCTACTTCTTAAGCTTCAGTTATTTTTCTTCTATTTTATTTAAAAAAAAAAACTAAATTAATGGTTGCATATAATGTAAAACATGTTTTTTTGGTTGAATAAATTTTAACATTCATTCAAAAAAAAAAAAAAGTGTTGTTGTCTTCAAAAGAAGAAGAAAAAAGGTTATATTTTTGTATAAGAAGTCATTTTTCTCTTTATTTTTTTTTTTATATAAACCCTATTGCCTGTACCAATCTTGGTAGACACGTACTGAAATATTTTAGAGTAGACTATTTTCCAAAGGGCCATCACACTGTCTGTCCCGAATTTGGAATGCTTTCCAACTGATGCTAGGGGTAGTCAAACCGCCTGCATTTCTAATTACCATGTAAAAATGTCCAAATTTATATACTTCTCACACAACTATGATTTATTGATTTTTGTTTCTATTTTCCAATTGGATTAAACTTGGGTTAGTTTCAACTTTTCTCCAATTTTTCCTTACCACTCGACTACGGTTGTGTAGACCTCTTTGTTATATATTGTTAGAGAAGTTTAACACATTTTATGAAGATATATATAATTTCCTTGAATTCAAATATATAGCTGATCAAGCCTTCATAGATATCTCATGCAGTGAAACACTTTGCAAAGGCTTTGGCATGTTTTCGTTTAGTCATGCAAAATTCTACGGCTAAGGAGATTAGTTTTGTATATATTTTCAATATCTAATATATATAGGGCATCAAATACTCTGCTTAAACACACATCTAGATTCACATCGAATCACTTAGAACAATATGTCATTCAAAATAAAATCATGTATGTACTAATTAACAATAATGTTCCAAAGTTTAATGCTACGAGAATATTTGTATACAATATATATAAATATAAGTCCTAGATTACAAATAATAATCATGGGGTCTTGCATGCTCCACGAACAGTAGCTAGTAAAGGTACGGTCGTTTTCCATCAATAACTTAGGAACCTCGGAATCAATCGTTTAAAGTCCACTTTAGTCTTTAAATAGCCACAGATTCATTCTCATAACTCTTAAATCATCATTTTTATAAACCTTTCATATAATACATATATTACACAATCAAAGACTTTTAAACCTAAGTAAACAAAAACATATATATATATATATATATATATATATATATATATATATATATATATATATTTGTTTTATATTCTTAGTTTGGATATGGCAAAGACCCGTCGTGTAATTTACCTTTTCCTAATTAGTATTCTCATTTTCTGCGAACTCATCAACGGGGCGCAGGGTAGTCGTTTGAGGTGTCATCATCAAGAAGATTTTTCATGTAAGAAACGTTCAAGCCATCACCATCATCATCATCATCATCATCATCATCATCATCAAGATCATCATCGTCAAAGAAGCATCAAGACGAAGAGGAGCAAAGATAATTATGGTGTTGATGCTTTCAGGCCTACCGAACCAGGTCACAGCCCCGGTGTTGGCCACTCTATCAAGACCTGACGAAACTAGAATTTATCAATCTTGAATCTTGATATGTATCTCTTTCTCCTTTATATCTTGCCTACCTTTGTTCCATTGACCTAATGAGCATGTGAGTCATGTTGTTTCCTCATATTGTAAATAGTAGATTTTTATTGTGGCTTAGTCGTCTCTCAATAATTGTTGTCGTTTCATAATGTTATATTTTCACACATAACTTGCGGTTTCAATATTACAAGATGTTCAGCTTTATTAGAATCATCTACATTATTATCTATCTTTATGTCCTTTCGATATTTTTTTCTTTACGTGTACAACTAGAGTTAGAATTAGGCACTTAGTTAGGCTAAGCTAATAATGCCTAATTAAGTAAAGGTCAGTACATAGTTTTCAATTAGTAAAGTGGGTTACAATTTACAAAGCTAAGATATTTTTTGATCTTTTATGTATTCGTTAATTAATATTAAAAAATCTTGCATACATCATTACCTCGGATTATGATGTAAATGGTAAAATGATTAGGTACTACTACATTACATATACAGGCAATAATGAGGAATCAACATCCACAAAAAGAAGAAAAAAATGGTTACAATATACAAAATTCTAAAGTTTACACAAGTCAAAATGATTGATTGTGTGCAAAAATATAATCTTTGATAGGATCCGCAAAAGGAAGGGCGTGTATCAAAAGCATATAAATATCTAACTCGAGTAAAAAATATATCTAATAAATTCTTAAAGATTATTGAGCAAATCTATATATATAAACATAGAGAAAATCTTAGAAATGTAGGTACCGTTCAAGAACGGTCCAAGTGGAGATAGAACAAAGGTTTAGTAGTAATAGATCTCTATTTTAGTATTTAGGTAAGCTTATGAAATATGAAGATAGATCAAATTTAAGAAATAAGCTAAATTAAAACTGTCAATAAAGGCATAATAAGCTAAAGCAAAATCATTTAAAAACCGGCTTTGCGCAATTTTGTTTTGTAATAAAATTTACATATAGTGTATATAAGTACATTTAAACATAATGTATTTTTATAATATGATGACTCATATGAATTAATTATATATGTCACAAAAAATCTTGAAATAAAAACTGAGCATTTTAAATGATTTTGTACTACTCATTTGGAATCCTATAAAACGCTTGTCATTTAATAGAAAGTCAAATTTAAAAAAAAAACAAATTAAAGAATAGAAGAAAATACAATTCTCGCAGCATATTTATATGAAAATATAATTTTCGTATATTATAATTTTTTAATATGTTCTTTTACACAATTCTAAACTGTCTGAATGAATTTTCAATTTTTATCAATCATATGTATTTGATCGTGACACATTTTTACCTTTATAAACATTAGCCAAACGATTTATTGTTCTTGGATGCAAGCCAATTTAAATAAACCTTTCTAATTATGTAGTCTAAGAGTATATTATATCATTCACTGGTTATAGTGGTTTAGTTTAGACACACACAAACATTGTTCTCGTATATAACAAAATGTGTTATGCAAATTCAGATTACTCCACCAGGTATTATTATTCAGTGACGTGAGGTTCGTGTATAATATCCATTTAGTGGTCATGAAATTTTTTCTTTTTATGAGAATATTATTGTATCTTTGGGGGAGAACATGTTTTCAATTATTACTGTTATCTAAAAAGATTTTGATAAACATAACCAAAAAAAAAAATGTTACCTCAGCGAAAGGATAGTGGAATATAGACTTTTTGGTGCCGTGATGGATTGAGAAACGATATCTAATAATTTCTTTCGAACATTGTACCTAAATATTAAAATCGGGTACCTATCTATTTCCATAAGATAAAAAAAAAATTAAAAATCATCATACGGTACAAAACAAAATATGCAATTATTGCCACTTTTTTTTTTTTCCAGTTACTTTAGCTTCTTTAAAAGTTTATTAACAAATATCCTATATTTTTTCGGAAGAAAAATTTGTTGATTTTTGTCTAAGAGCAACTCCAATGATTGTTCAAATCTTTCTCCAAACTTTATATGTATATGGTGTAAAACTATCTTTAATGATGTTCTATATCTTGCTATAAAAATAAAAATTAAGATATTTTTGCTCTAAAATTTAGATTCTCATTCACCTTTTGTCTTATGCTTGCAAAGAGATTCAAAGATGTCACGAAGACTTCTAACATATAGAGAGCTGTTAAGTACCGAGAAATTGTTGCACCAACGTAGCAACCTCAAGGTTTTTTTTATAAAAAATTTGTAAAAAAACCTTTGACTCGTTTTAAGATTGAGATTTTCATCTCCTCTGTGATGAATCTGGTTGGTTTTTGCAAAATTTAGAACAATATTATTCATTTCTTTATTTTCATAGCAAAGCTTTTTTATTAAAAAAATGCTCCTCAATTTTGATATATTACTATATTATACCTAAACAAACTTATATAAGATTTTTACTTTGTTAGGATTGAAAGTATGCAAAGAGATTTGGATCTTCTAAGAAACTTAAGTCACGATATCTTTTTCAACCTCTTTCAATGCTAAATTCTTACTTTGAAACTCCAAATGTTGTTCTTGTTGTGCACTTGTCTTTTAAAATGGATTAAATTTATAAATTTTAATTTAAAGGACTAAAATAAAAACTATAATAAAATATTTAACAGAATATATATATATATATATATATATATTGAATAGGAAATAGAGTCAACTAGCAGAACAAACATTTGCTACATTTTTAGATAAACCTATTTTATAGCAAACCATTGGAAATGGTCTGAAATATCAAATATACATTTTTGTAGTTGGTTCTAGTTCCTACTCCACATATATAGGTATAGATAACACTAAAAGACTAGAAGTGTTGGTTGGCTAACTAATCCATTTAATAATAATTGAAACACAGATAAATTGAATTACAGGTACATATATGATAGCTGAAAACGCGTTCAAATTATGTTTCAAATTTATAATCTAAATAATTAAACATTACATTATTTTGTTTCTTATGTCCCATTGCATTATATAAGCACTCAAAGTAATTGAGAAGAGAGATTTTTTTGGGTTGCCATGTTCACATAAAAATTAGAATAAAATTTCGCTTTGTTACTGAACTTTGTGAGGTACTGAGTGAAAGATCTTGTTTCAAGATCGTTTACATTATAATAACGCATGTATAAACTTGTTTTCTTGGTTGCTAATATATCTACTTACCATTTATGAACACTGAATGATTGTAAAAGCTACACGTAGCTGACTTATATATAAACAAGAAAGTTGTAAACGTGTTATTGAGATCTCATTATCACCTGGTAATGTTACCGAGTAATGTATTCGTCGACGGTGAGCTCTGTGCACTTAACCAAGGATCTTGAACCGAGACAGGTGAGCTATCGTTAATCTCTTCGACGGCAGCGAGGGATTCGGGTTGTTTCTGTGGGATAACGATTCTTCTACTTCCTGCTGATGGTTTTCTAGTTGATCTTTCGCTTCCCATATCAGATGACCGGAGAGAACCAGTTGGTGAATCTAGGCTCATGTTTGGGATCCAACCACTGAGCCGTATCTGTTCGAGCTCGTCTGCTACTTCGGTCATTGTCGGTCTCATGTCACTGTGGAAAGCTAGGCATCGAAATGCGAGCTCAGCCACGGTGTGTATCGACGAGAGAGTCCATGCGTCGAGCTCCAGGTCGAGAATCGGGTCTATAATCTGATCGAGACAACCTGACCTGATTTTGTCAACTGCAAGAGCTGCTAGGTTGATTTCAGTATGTGGACGAGTGAAATCAACAACTTTCAATCCTGTTATGATCTCGGCAAGGACGACTCCGAAGCTATAGACGTCGCTCTTATCAGAAAGATGAAAGCATTGATGGTACTGCGGGTCAAGATAACCAGGAGTCCCTTGAGGAGCCGTTGATATGTGGGAAGTTTCTGTCATTCCCAGTCTAGAGAGTCCAAAATCCGCAACTTTGGAGTTGAAATCATAATCAAGAAGAATATTGGTAGATTTGATGTCACGGTGATAAATCGGTGGATTCATTGCAGAGTGGAGATATGCGATTGCTTTAGCTGTTTGAGTGGCTACAGTGAGACGTAAGGTCCATGGAAGACCAGTCCCTCTATCTCTTTGTAGATGTTCTGATAGAGTTCCATTCGGCATGTACTCATAAACAAGAACTGGATCGCCTTGTTCTATACAGCATCCTAAGAGACGGACAAGATTCGGATGACTCACAGAGGAAAGAAGCTTGATCTCATTCATGACTTGGTCAAGACTTTCTGAATCTCTGTGTCTGAGTCTTTTGATAGCAACCCATTCATCATTTTGGAGCTTTCCTCTATAGACTGTACCATATGCACCTATTCCTAGCTTCTGCTTTTCAGAGAAACCATCAGTTGCTTTCTCGATTTCCTTGTAAGGGAAAAAGGCGACACTTGAGTTTCCTGCAGCTTCAGACAAAAGACGCTTGGCGCTCAAATGGCTTCTTAAGGGAGTAGACCGTCTCCGCTTACAAAAGAACAAAAGAGCCAGACCAACTAGTATAGACGCACCACCAACAGTTCCTATATATAGCAAATGAATAAACCTAGTCAAAAATCCATAAAGTACAAAGCTTAAATGTCATACAAACACTAAAGTGACTGTTACCTCCTAAAATAGTAATAAGGGTCGATCTACAATGTCCCCAAACGAGCTTTGAACCATGACAATGCGGTAGTGCTGCAAAGAGGAAACCAGTTAGCAGAAAAGAAAAAAAAGCTTTGCGAATTTCGAAAACAAGAACATCCCCGAACTATTAAGAAGTAATAATCTAATAGATACAACATCATACTACATTTAAAAATAACAGATTTAACAAGTTATTCCGGTTGACAACTCAAAACTATTCCCACCTCAATCCATATGTGTTCTTACTACTAAGCCTTGAATACAAATGTTGTAGCAAAGACTATAGTTTGACTAACCTTTCCGGCAAATATAGCCGTCTCCGTGGAAACCCTCGAGACATGAGCACCGATGTCCAGTTTTTCCATGAGGAGTGTCAACGACTGTACAATTGGCGTTTATCCCGCAAGGATTACTCTTACAGTCTCCATTTAACCACCAACCTAACCTAACTCGCCCAAACTCTAGCGCTATTCCCGCATTCACACCTACAGACTCGAAAGCTATCGACGAGAACAACAAACGGCAAGTGCTATTCCTCAATTCCTTCATACCGAAAAACTTAGCTGAGTTCTTCAAACTCGAGTTACTATCTAAAGAAAAACAGCTTATGTTTCCAGTGGCATCACAGCTTTCCAGCTTCAGAACATCCTCCAAGAACTTCTGCTTAATCGAGCATCCGTCTGTAGTACGGTTACACTCCTCCATCAAGAAACTGTTCTCAGCCGTCGGAGCGAAATGCTCACTGAATAAAGGATTCATATCTTCAACCTTCCGAGTACAATTGTGTGGAAGGGCGACGAATATACTGTTTTCCGTCACGTTCTGAACAGGAAAGCCTCCGATCTCCGCAATCCCCGCCGCAGAGCAACCGAATTGGATGCGACAACCAGAAGAAAACCCAAAAGGATAAGGCAGAGTCTTTTCACCGCAGCTTCCGAGACAAGTTTCAGTGAAATTAGCAGCGGAGGTCCGGAGAACAGATCCTCCGATTACGATTACGATCACGATCACCAAAATCAAATCCAATTTATGAGAAACCATCATCTTCTTTGATTTGATTGAACCGGATCTCAAATGTTTCTCACCTTCCTGCAAAAACGACCATGGATGCATTCAATTTCTCCAGTGAAGCTAAAACCCTAAGACCTCGAAACCAAGTTGGAATTAGTTGAAAGCTATTAAAAGCTCTCAGAGTTTCCCAACTGTACACACACGAAAAATAAATACACACATATAGAGAGAGAGAGAGGAACTGATTCCTCCATTAATGACGACTAATTAGGGTTTAAGATCATCATCATCAAAGGAATTTAAACTAACAAAAAAAAAAAAAGTCAAAATACCTTCCGAGCTTTGTTCTTCTCTGAGCTTTCTCTTCATCTTCTTCGATTCGTAATCAGTTATTCTACAGTATAAACGAAAAGATTCGAAATAATCAGTTTCTGCGGCGATGAAGGTGATCGTTTGTGATCGGAGGATTGAATTTTCCGGTGGTTTCACCTAATCGCGAAAATAACAATTCACGGAGGGAGTAATTAAAGACGAAGGAAGAAGAAGAAGATACGTGCGCCCAGTGGATATCTATATTTTTAATTTAAAGACGAATAAGCCCTTGGGGAAAAAGCGTGGGAAGAGATATAATGACGAATATACCCTTTATGGTCAACGAGCAATTGGGATATCTTTGACCAGGTTTGAGCTTTTATTTTTAATTGATGCGTGTGTGAGTGGACAGCATAACAATATGCGTAAAGTCGTTTTGTTTTTATTATTTTTAAAAGAATATATTATTATTGAATTACACACTTTTATTGAATCGAATCATTATAGTGTTTTTTTTTTGTTTGGTTTGGGTCAATTGGTCAGCTAGCCTAAAATTGGTAAAAAAAACTAATATGTTGGTTGAAAAAAATGGATCATTGATGTAATAATATATAGTGTCGATGTAATAATATATACTGTTCATGGATCATTAAAATATCTCTTAGTTTACTATTTGATTGTATAAAATTTCTAGTCTTATGCAAAGAATCCAAACCATGATAGTTGTGATAATATATCTAGTTTTTTTTATATAATGAAGAGATTTTTTAAGTTTTTTAAAAAGAAAAAAATATGAAACAAAAAGATAAAAAATGATATGGCAAGTTCTATCTAATTTTGAAAGATGGAATTCAGAAACTTCCCTAGCAACAATCAATTAGTTGTTATAGAAAAATGTAATGCGATGTTCATTTTGGAGTTTTATCGGTAAAATGACAGGTAATTACGAATGTATTAAAGGAATGATGTATTCGATTATATTTGTTGGCATGTGAGACTTTCAATTGAAAAGGTTAGTCACTTATATACTCCTTCATCAAAATTGTGTTTAAATATTCTATTTGTGTCTATGGTTATATTAGAATGGTTTTTGTATTGTGTAATAAGTTTTATGAAATGATATATATTGTATAATTAGCTATAAAAAATACTAAAGAAAGAAAAAAAATATCTGTTTATAGACCAATGTTGAAAATTATTTAACTCTTTGAACTAAAATCTATAGAAAAATAAAAATAATAAAAATATGTGAATTTTTTTATTTACTACTTCCTATGTTCCATTATATAAGAGTTTTTTTTGTCTAAAAGCAAAGAAATTATAAAACAATAAATAATGTCTCGTTAAACAAAATTCAACCAATAGAAAAAAAATACTGCAAAATTTAAATAATCAAAAATTACTAAATCAATATAATAAGTGCATAGAATTAAGAAAATCTTTGTAAAATGGAACAAAAATAAATAAAAGTTAAATAAAGCTTATATATTGGAACGGACGGAGTATTTCGCAGAAAAATGAATTAATACCATTTAATTCATTTTTATTCAATTTTTAACAGGTAAACCCATCTTTTTTTTTCTTGGCTATACAATCATTTGCACTTTAATACATTGAAAAAGAAGATTTATTAACAACTTTTTTTTTTTTGAAAAGTCTAAACAATATCTTTAGTACAATATATTGGTTGGTTATATTTAAGACTCTAAATAAGCAAAAACAGAGTAGTTACGTACAAGAGTTGTTGAACCACTCGAAACATCATTTGTGTTATCTAACCAAATTTGGTCTTTTTGTGCTTCTTGTCCTAACAAAGATAAAATCTACTTTTTTTGAGAAGAATCATCAGTACGTATTATATAACCCGATAACGAATGGTTGGATCAAATTGGTTTGAGCATTATCTCATCTTTTTCATCAAATCCAAATTATCTTCAACTCTACATAAACATTCAATTATCGACAAGATTATAATATCACAATATATCTTCTAAGCTCATCCCCATAATCCAAGCCAAGACATAAGAGAAGTATGAATCAATCTTTGTTTCTCATTTAAGTAATGTCTACTTTTTCTTGGATTATAGAGACATCCTAAAGCTTTTGTTTTCATGCATATAGGTGTTGGTGTGAACGTGTTATCGTTGGTTCACGTTTACGTACGAGAAAAGGAGAAAACAAAAGAAAAGGGTTAATAGTTATTTTGTCTATTCGTGGATATGTCGACTCTCGAGTCATCGTCTGGTCACGAGCCTTGTTCGTTATCGACTTACTTACTTGCCGTGTGCGGTGGGGTATTACTTGCACCCATTGACTTCTATTAAAATCTTTCTTAAGGGTCAAGAAGAATATGATAAGTAATAAATTAATACGTGCCTTTGTATACACGTACATGTTTTAATACGGTAACGTTTGATTTCACTTTACTAATTATATACATTTTGGATTCACATGTACTATACGTTTTCTATTCGAATTGATTCATTATGACCTTGATGTAAATCATGATGAGTTTGAAAGTGCATGTGTGCACGTAACTCAAGTAAAAAAAAAACATATACTGTAGCATGGAATTTAAACTCCTAATTTTTATTATTATGATTTTAAGGTTAAATTCTCTAGAAATACAACTAAACGTTTGATCCACACTTTTCAAGATCATATGTTAACCAATTCATTGCGATCTAGTGGTTGAGTGGTTCGCTATGTCACTTGAATGGACAATGTATAAATCTACTACATTTCCAATAGGAAAATGTCATAAAAAGCATGAATTTTGTGTTTTCGTTGAAGAAAACAATAAACTATGTATGGTGAAATATATATCTAACTTTGAGTGACTTTTTAATTAAATCGTACATTTTTGTTGACTTTACTAAATATGATACATTTTAAGTCAACTAACATATTAATTTAACGGAATTAAGTTAATGTTAAATAAATTTCTGTTAAACTTCAAAACGACGTCGTTTATATTTAAAAGAAAAATAAAAAGTGAATCGTAGCAATTTTATTTAATCCGTAACGATTTTCTTCAATTTTTTATAACTAGTCCGCACCATTTTAAAAGAAAAAGTGATTTGGTCTATAAATAGTTTGTTTGCTCAAGTCGTTGTAACTTTTCGAATCCTAAACCTTGGTATTCACTGCCCACTAGTAAGAAGAAAATATTAATTTTGTTGTGATATAGATAGTCTTATCTTCAGCAATCACAACATTATTGAATTATCATATTGAGTATGAAAAAAGGCAGATAATTATCAATTAGTCAGTTTTGTAGACCCAAGCTCAATCATATATTTTATTTTCTTGACTTTATAAGCTTGAATTCCGGTGATGAGGAAAGACCCAAACTCAATGATTAAGACTGGAGATATTTTTGTTTGTCACGATAGTACTTTTTATCAACACTTAGATTTCTTCTCAATGTTCTCATGCGGAAGTTTGGGAAAGTTTATGGATGTGTCAAGTTTTGGTTGTCTCTTCCGACTCTAGTGTAAGAACTTGTTTTTGACAAAGTAGTTTCAACCATTTTTGATGGGTTAGGTTTTTGGTAAATATGTTTATAAGAATGGCCTCATAAGCATGATAAAAAGAAATTCTCATTGTGAACATTATGTAGGGGTATATATACTAAAAACCTAAAAACATAATTTGTTTGAATTAGAAATGGAAATTCAAAATAGCTAATTTGAAAAGTTCAACGTCAAATGTTTAACTTCTAGAACTTTTAAAACAATATCTACTCGTACATTTGTACCAAGCCTAAGAAGGAACTAATGGTGGAAAAATTTTCTTGTCTTTTATGAGAGGATCTAAGGGCATTCTTATTGCTATACCCTAAGATTTGCAAAAGAAATAGTCGAAGTGTTGTAACCTACTCTTGAGTCTCGAGTTGACTATAAGAAACAGTCATGGGTCTCATTCTCAATGCACACCACAATCTCTTCCTTATTCTTTTCTAGTTATCTATTTTGAGAGTACAATGCAATGTTAGCCCTTGTTCTTGATTTTAAGTGTTTTATAAAAAGAGAGGAAGACAAATTTGAGCTAAAATGGCTAAATCACTAGATTTACAACAGCTTTTGTATACATAAAAATTCCAAAACAAAATTTAGGGACTAAGAAAAGCGAGATGTTGAACTCACAAATAATACTCAACTGATTGTATATATATATATTTTTAATTAATTATTAAATATCACGATATGTACAAGCTTAAATAAATTATTCTGAGTAAATTCATTTGTTTTTTTTTCTGTCAACAATAACTAATTATTCGAATTTAAAACCAAACTAAAATATCAACAACATTAATACAAACCATTTAAATCTATAATTATTTATTTTTCTTTAAAATAAAACATAACCTCTTAAACATAAATAAACTATGTTTGTTTATACATCTATATTCAACATTTTACCAAAGGAAAAACACATCTACAGTTGGCAATCGGCGCATTCCCAAAGGCTACAATTCAATCTTCTTTGAATCGCTTGCCTTATGAGAACTTTAGAAAAGAGAAGTTGCAAATTGCTCTATAATAAAAAAAATTGAGTTTATCACTTGATTTTGATGGGTGATCCCTCGATAAACCACTCCAACTAAATTCATCGACTCCAATTTTCTCTCTCAATCTTAAAATAGACTTCAGATCACTTCTCGGTCAAAAAAAAAAAAAAAGGAATTCGACTCCATTTTTCTTCTCATCAAACCAAAATTCTTAGATTCAGTCATAGTATCTCATTCTAACTTGGGAGCCAAAAAAAGCAGAAAGACTTGAAACAATTCTTTTGTCTCTTACCAAACACTTGTTTTGATTAAAAAATTACAATAACGTCCCCATAGCTACTATAGCCAGATAGCCTATGTGAAATGAATATGACCACTGCCCAATATGGTCTGGTCTCATAGAAAATTTATGGGCTAATAAGGCTTACTCCTAAAGCCCAACAAATATCTTAAAAGGAGTACAAAAATTTACCGTAAATTTCGGACCAAATCAAAGAAGAAAAAAAAGTTACATCTTTTTAAAAAATTACTGTTCATGGATCCCACGTGATCAGACAGCTCAAATTCCGATCTCGTAACGACGTCGAATAAGACAATTTCGGTTTTGTCTCTTAAAAAAATAAAAACTCGATCTAAAAAAAAAAAAAATCCCCCAAAAAGCAAAATTAAAAATAATAAAAAATTATCGCACAAGATTCCAGCTTAGTGGTGGTTTCT